CTTCATAAGCAGATTTTTTTTCAAGTCTGAGAAAGCAAATTTTATTTTTCCACAATGAACGGCAATTTGTACTCAAAAGCTAATTGGCTTAAAGGAACTTTGGACAACTCTCCATTTTCCAGCGGGAACGTTTTTGATACAATAAAGAAAAAATACCATGCGTCTCACTCACTGTGCCAATACGGTGATTCTCTTCGACAGTTTATAAAGATTTTATCAATTTGTATAACAATTTTATTACTATCTAGTCACAACCTGATCACAACCTGATGCCTGCAAAATATTAATTAACTTGACTGCAGAAAATACATTAAAATTTCTAAAAGATGTAAACCTACTAAACAAAATAAGACGCGAAAAACCCTAGTGCTTGATGCGTAAAATCTTAAATAAATAAAAATGTACCTACGGTAACCCTACTCGTAGTATTAATTTAGAAATGGAAATTATTTTGAAAGTGCAAACACATAAAATGTATTATTAATTCGAGAGCACGAATCACATACCTACATTCGAAATGAGCAGGTTTACATTTTTTTTAGTCACGCTTAAAATTCAAATTTTACACACACATAATAGGTAAATGTAGCTGGGGAATATAAACAAGAAGAGTAATAATGTGTACCTACATATAAATATCATACTCTGTTGATATATGTCACATCAAAGAAGTGTAAACACTCCAAAATGGTTTGAAAGGGTCCCCGTACCTCTGAGCTTCTGTTCATTTACAAAATGACTAAATTTGTAAGGGTATCAAACGAAAAACCTTTGCATGAATCAAAAAGCTTTTTAGGGTGTTTATCTTGCATGGCGAATGAAAAGCGAAATAAGTAAAAAGGAGAAAAGGAAAACCGAAGAACAAACATTGAATACGTTACGTTGTTGGAATGGCTAAATTCGCGATTAGCCGAATTCAGAGAAAGAGCAGCTTTACACTTCCACACACCGCAATCGAGCACGAAGTCATTAATTCAGATGGTTAAGACGTCAGTTATAGGTTATCGTAATGGAGAGGGTACATAGCATAATTACTAGGTCAAACTTTGATCTCGCACGTGCCAATTGCTAGCAGATGCTACTAGCAGTACAACTACTCGCACCATTGCTATTATAACGGGAGACATTACAATTCAAACTCGACTCTTGCTTGTAATTATCATTATGTACAAATACCCCCAAGTTTCTGAAATGTTCTCGGTTCTGGACTTGCTACATAAACTTTTCAAGACAACCACTTACGTGACGTATTGCTTGCTCCTCACGAAATACTTTGAAATTACGACAATAAGTTCAAATTCTATTCGCAAACTTAGCCATACATGTCGGTTGAAGTTGATGAAAGTACGAGCAGATTCGCTTTGAAGTATACACAGCAAGAATACGTTATTCCGAAAATGGATTATTTAACTTCGTGGGCGTTTAACGTTGCTGATAATTTTATACTTCGTAATATTGATATTAAAATTTAATTGATGCGAAAAGTAAGCAAAAGCTTAAATACCCCAAATTACTTCCATTAAATGATTATTAAATTTAGGGTTTGATTAATGGGTACAGATTATTTTACAGTAAAAATCCTTGAATAACTGGATAGTAATGGAATAGCGGTTGTTGTAAGGTATTAATTTCTCATTAATGTAGTTTATTACTGCATATTCATTATGTATGCTCAAGGCATTAATTTCCATTTGGAGATAATGGATTAAAAACAAAAAAAAGAACACATACGCATACCGAACGCCATCAAACTTGGAGTAAGTAAAAGCAAAATCCCCTTAAAAAATTTGAATATTCCTTAGTTACTTACAAAATGATTTTCCACAAGGTCTATTTTTCCTGTCCATTGTAACAAGACTTCCGTCAATCCGTACAATCGAGGTTAGAAATAGAAATGCAATCTTAAGATGTAAATAGAGTAAATTAATATTTATGCTGCATTAGGTGTGTAATTAAAATAGAGCCGGGAGAGCGAGTTAAATATGTCAGCTGTAATCAAACTTTAAATGGCAAAAAGCGCTGAATAAGTATTTATACCATTCCAAATCGCCTATTTGGTCAGAATTTATAAAGGCGATATGCATAATTATGAGTGTAAGTAGTGAAAAATAAGAATTTTTTTAAGCGACGTTATGCAGTGCCAAATTTGCCCCGGTTGTTTTCGCAAAGGGAGTCGGTCAACTTTAATCAAATCCGTCCACTGGGTGGTTACCGAACATAGAAATTAAGCCAAGAATGATTCATCATCTCCATATAGCCCTCGTCGCACTGATGACGAAGAGTTTCCCAGTTACCAAGGAGGATTCTATAGTCGGTCCGTGCATAGTAAACTGGAGGAAATATAATTTCACAAGGATCTAGATCTCCTGGTGCACAAACATTAACGGTATTTATGTGATATTTCCACCTAACATTGTTAAAGAATGGGTATGAAATTGTTACCGTAAGGATAAGTGGACTCCTAAAAATAAGCGAATATGTAGCAAGCACAAACTTTGATCTGGTTATGAAGATGCATCGCAACCCCGTTTACTGAAGTACGTATGTTTTTCTCTACGTCTAACCGTTTCGGTTCTAGAAGGCGTAAAAAGCGAAAACCGCTTTCTTCGCGAGCGGCGATCCGGGTCTTCCTAAACCACAGTTATTCCCCCAACTCCACTACGACACAAAAAAGCTTCTCCACGTCCTCCACGATCTCTGAAAACCGGAATCAGAACATCCGCGAAGATTACGAGTTACTAATTGTTTTCAAAATTTATCGATTTTTACACTTTTTACAGAAGCTACATACCTCGACGGTCCCATATACCCAGACATATACCCAAAAAAGTCCTAAACTACACTACAAAAACTACATTTTTGCCCTTTGTATTAGCATTGTAAACTAAAACCAATTCCCGTCTTCAATATGTAAACGTTTCATTGGTTTAGAGTTACCAGACAACCTACCTATCTAAAAATCTTGGTTTACTATCAATAGATCGTTAAGAAGTAGCCAATAGGAAAAAAGGTTTATTGTGCGTCACTAACCAATGAAACCATACGTATGTTTCTATTGGCTATTTCATAATGGGCTAATGATAGTGAACTAATGGTAATGATTGTATAAACCCACCGTATAATAATAGTATTTTACATTATTAGCCACGTAAATGAGTTTTTACTGATGATAGGGTAGAAAGCTGAAATTTGGCATGTAGGTTCCCTGGGGGTTGTAGGGAGCACTAGGGAGAATTTTCCGAAATTCCTACGGAAACTGAAAAAGGGAATTTTACATTTTACAGACGAAAGTGCGGAAGATAGGTACTTCACATTTACACGTGGGTTTCTTTGAATACGTTAAGGTTTACTCCCAAAGTGCTTCTCAAAATTCCCACAGTAACGGAGGAAAACTGAATTAAGACAGAGGGTAATAGTTATGCGCGGTGGTAAAAGCCAATAGTCAATAATACGCATTGCCAACAAGTCGCAACGGACACATAATTGATGTTGGCCGGACACTTGCAATAAGAATTTGCCTAAATCAAAACAGGTACAATCTTGCTTGGTGTCTCTTAGTATCTAAACCAGAATAACGAAACAAAATAGATCTTAAATGCTGTACAAAGAAGTTTATGTAAATGCTAAAATTATATGAGGTCGTTAATTTTACAATATTCAGGCGCAGATGTTTATTGCAGCTTCGGTCCTCGGTAATTTTGTTTAACTTTTAATTCTATATCAAGAAATAACGACGTAAGTTTTAATTTACAACGCCGTGAATCTCAAAAATTTTCCTTTTAAGACTTGAAGCGCCGCTCTCGTTATTTAATTAAATTGCTTAAATTAATACCATTTACTAAAGCTAGACACTTTCTCAGATAATTCGCCGCTTCCTGAACGTTAAAGTAGGAATATATTTGTATTGTTTTAATATCCTTTCCGATTTTATGCAAAAAGTCAACAAATTGGACGCTACTAATTTTCTTTTCAAGTTACATTTAGTTAATCCTTAGTTTCAACTACTCTTCTAATTACGAAACGTCACTAATTTATACCAACAAAGATCTTACGCACTGGCACTAAACTTTTGGATTAGAATGTCACTGGACGTTATTTGGAAACATTGAATTGCAATATATTAGTCCACCAAATTGAACTTCTGCAGTATGTGCATTGAGGACCTTTTACAGTTTTCTTATTTTATCCAAGTCAAATCATCATAAACATATTAAGGATAGAACCAATCAGAAATACTGCCATCCACAAAGAGAATATTGGGCGAATCCAATTTTTATAATTGGTTAAGTACCGAATTGCCATCTTACTCAGGAAGTAGGTAGTAACTTGTTAGACTGTAACTGCATTCAAATGAAACTTTCGACCGGTCTCAAACCAACGTATAAACTTACTCAGGAAAATTGTTTGCAGCAAACTACTCCATTTAATAAATCCTGTTAACATGGCAAGTTTCAAAATCTATCATCGAATACGGATAGGAGTTGCCAGGTTACGTTTAAAGTTTACAGAGTCGATCGTTTAATCCCATATACTGTTCTTGTAATGGACTTCTCTCGAAATTCTTAAATCATTCTTGGTGAGCTTCAACCGGTGATAAATTAAAATTCTTCCCCAAACAACGGGCTTTTCAAATGATGATTGTACTAGTCCGCCACGAATTTATGCATGTAATAAATTCGGTATTCCTATTACACGACCAATAATCATTTTTATCGTACGAGGGCAACGTTTTTATCATCTTTGGCTTAATGCAAAAGTTAATAAAACAGATTTAACGACTACACATTACTTATTCTGTACATCTCCATAAGCTGGAGGCTAACATATACCGACAACATATAAATTTTGAGCTTAGAGCAAGCTCAGAAAGTTTCTGCGAACTTCAGTGTCCAATTAAGTTAAATTATGCATGCAATGTCTCCATTTTCACCCGTAAAAGTTAAACTTTATCGATCCAGTTTTATAAATGTATGTAACTGACGGTCGTAAAGTTTACTTACCAACTACTGTAAGATAGACAGGATGCCCTATAGGGGGTGTCGTGCTGATCTGGCATTCGTAAATACCAGAGTCTTTCCTTTGAGGATATCGTATCCTCAACGTCCATTCCTCCGAGTGCGGAGAGTGCATTGCTTCGAAACGTTGATCCGAAGTGTAGGTATATCGTCCCACTGTGAGTAGGTGTATATCTCTATGCCTTACCCAGGAGACCTGAAACAAGTTAAATGAGCAGAATTATATAGTGAAAAATACGCACTTACATTACTCGAAATTAATTGTTTTCAAATCTAATGAGCTTTTCAATATACCTTTATCGTATTAATAAAATGTGAACCTCCGCGAGGAAATAAGCAAACACAGCAGAAAATTCTATAATTTGTACGTTTTGGAGCCATAAGCTTGGCCCATCCAATTTCCGTAGACAACAAAGCCTTTGTGTAAAGCCGCAGATTATCGCATTCAACTGTATTACACAGCAAAGCCACTTTTTAAACGTACGCGTACGTGAAAATTTATATTAATATTTATTACCTTCTAATGCCACCATTTCAAATTTTCTCCTGAATTCAATTTAGTTTGAAATCGTTTGAAGGCGTTCGGAAATCTTTGGCAAAGTTATTTTATTTGGTTAGGTTTGGAGGTAAAACGCTTGATAAATAAAAAAAATTTGAAAACAAACGTGCTTTACTCACGTTCTAGCATTTTAACTAGAAAATGAAGAAAAAGAAGGAATTGTTGCACACAAATGTTGTATTGTCCTTAAAGGACCTTCATTAAACCTTCCACAATTAGGAGATTTTTATCATTCATACCCAACAGAGGTGACGTGTGTCATGCCAAAATAAATTGGAAAAGACACAACACAACTGTTGCCTTAGTTACCACACGCTTATTGATCGTGTAATTGGAGACGTTACTTTGTTTTAGTTTATTTGGGACACATTTCTGTGAACGCACTGGTTATCATATTACAACCAATTTTTTTCTACCGTGCTTTATTTGTTATGGTGTCAATTTCGTACGCATTTTATGGATTGCGCGTACCTGGCCCTTAATATCGCCACCACTAAGAAACCTACAAAACAAAAGGTATTTTAGATATAGATGGTAAGCATGGATATAATGATAGTAACATTGCAATAGTGAGTAGTATTGTTGTATTTTTGTTTGTTAGCATCAAGTTCTGGATATTAATATTGGCATAATAATAAAATGAATTGTAAAAGACCGTCAGAATAAATAAACAATTTTAAACGTTCTTGTCTTGGTCAATTTGTTCTTCGACCCAGACAATAATCACAGCATACGTTATGAGGCGTGAGTCAATAGCATTGATCCTTCGAGCCGGATAACAATCACATAACAGTTTACTAAGTAAGAGTCTATAACATTGATTCTTCGAGAAAACCAAGATGTCAAAATCATTAACTTTTCTACGTGTGTAAACAACGACCTTCCTGACAAGCAAGAAGAGATTAATAATAATAATAATAATAATAATAATAATAATAATAATAATAATAATAATAATTGACTATTGTGGCCATTAAGAGCTATGTTGGTAAGTATGAATTACATACTATCCCTAGATTTCCAATGTGAGTGTGTGAATATTTATTTTATTTTTTATTTTTCTTTAGAACCCTACATAACTTCACCAGACACAGACACAGAAACTAATCGTTACTTGATTTTAATCCGTGCGATTAGTTAACCAGGCTAGACCTGAGTTCTCACAAGAAACACCGACCATAATAATAATAATAATAACCCCTGTGGGTTCGGGGATAGAATAGGCCCACTCTCGCCCTAGAGATCGTAAAAGGCGATCAATGGGCACTAAAGGTGACAAGTCCAACCACCTTTAGTACTTACCTACCCACTTTACTTTCCAACTCCCACGTCCATGTTCCCTACTTTCCTACATTATACACAACACGCAGGTGGATATTTGCTTACGCGAATATCTTGAAGAGTGACGCGTGTTCCTAGTCACCCCATATTCTTATGAAAATGGAGTTTAAACAAAGCCTCGGAAAAATGCCGCTACCTGAGGAGCGTCAGGGCACGTCTGGAGCTATCGCTGGACGTTGCAGCATGCGAGCCGATAGTGACGAGTTGGTGAACAGGCGGCCGCTCGTCGGGATACCCGAAACCTCTACAGCCGNTTACATGGACGATTTCCACAAGAGGTTAGCCAGGGTTGTGTTGATTCTATAGCAACGCACAGTTGGTTGTCTGAATGTGATATCTTCCCGGAGACTGAGGGTTTCATGTTAGCAATACAAGACCAGGTCATTAACACACGTAACTATAAAAAACACATACATAAAGAAAGACAAAACAGTGACAAATGATTCTTGCCGACTCTGTTCACAAACATCAGAAACAATCCAACATATAATATCGGCATGCACACGACTCGCACAAACTGAATACAAACATCGACATGATCAGGTAGCTAAAATCATACATCAAAAATTAGCACTTAAACACAATCTCATAACAGATACGACACCATACTACAAATACACGCCACAAATCATACTTGAAAACAACACACACAAATTATATTGGGACAGGACACTACTCACAGACAAAACTATCCACAATAATAGACCAGATATTACACTTATAGATAAAACACAAAAATCCATTTGTATTATAGACATTGCCATACCCAACACTAACAACTTAACTAAAACACATGCAGAAAAACACCGTAAATACACCGATATAGCTATCGAGCTTAAGACGCAATGGAGAATGAAATCTACTGTTATAGTTCCCATTATTCTTAGTGCTACCGGAGTTATACCAAGGACAATACACCCCAATTTACAACTATTAGGTTTAGACAAAAACACATACAAACATTTACAAAAAGCAGTCATTATCAACACATGCCATATTGTTCGTAAATTTCTAAACATAACACAAGATACTACATACACAAATGATCCACAACGTATACATGTAAACAACAGTACTCGCTCACAACACGGTACACAACATACTGTAATATCTCCACCTCTAACCCAAACAAACACACAAATACAACTTACCGAGCAAACAAGTACAACAAATGATACAACATATACTACAATCAGAGATTCACCTCTGAAGCAAACCACATTATCACGACCCATTAGTATTCAACCCAAACGCAAAAGCCTAAACAGCACTTTAGACTCACAACATGACACACAACATACTGTAATATCTCCACCCTTAACTCAACCAATCACACAAACACAACTTCCTGAACAAACAAACGCAATAAATACAAGTAACGCAACATGCCCTACAAAGACGCCCTCACTCAATAAAGTTACACGGCCTAGCACAGCTAACAAACACAATACTCTTTCTTCTCAGAAACACACCACGTTATCACAACCCACTCGTATACAACCCAAACGCAAAAACCTAAACAGCACTACTAGCTCACAAAATACTATAATATCTCCACGAATAACCCAAGCAACCACACAAATACAACCTCAAGAACAAAGAAACACAATAAATACAAGTAACGCAACATGCACTACAAAAACAGGTCCACCCAATAAAATTACACGTCTTAGCACAGTTAAAAAACACAATACTCCTTTTTCTCAGAAACAACTCACTCGTATTCAACCGAAACGCAACAACCTTAAAAGCACTACAGGCTCACAAAATACTGTAATGTCTCCACCAATAACCCAAGCAACCTCACAAATACAACCTCAAGAACAAAGAAACACCATAAATATAAGTAACGCAACATGCACTACAAAGACAGGTCCACCCAATAAAGTTACACGCCCTAGGACAGTTAAAAAACACAATACTCCTTCTTCTCAGAAACAACCCACTCGTATACAACCGAAGCGCAAAAACCTTAACAGCACCACAGGCTCACAAAATACTGCAATATCTCCACCAAAAACCCAAGCAACCTCACAAATACGACCTCAGGAACAAATAAACACCATAAATACAATTAAAAAACACAAAACTCCTTCTTCACAGAAACACACCACGTTATCACAACCCACTCGTATTCAACCCAAACGCAAAGCCAAAGAAACACTTATACAATAAACTCCATTTAATAAAATTACAGGAATTATTATAATGATTTTTGTTTTGTTTTGTTTTGTTTTCCTCTTTCCTGATAGCGTTGGCTATTGTGCCCATCAATAGGTATGTTGGTAAGTACGAATTACATACTATCCCTAGATGTCCAATGTACGTGTGATTTTTTTTTTTTTTAAGGACCCTACATAACCACCAGACACAGACACAGACACTAATCGTTACTTGATTTTAATCCGTGCGATTAGTTAACCAGGCTAGACCTGAGTTCTCACAAGAAACACCGACCATAATAATAATAAATGCCTTTATTCACTAGGAATGGCCGAGGTTCAGCAATGACATGTATGCCATGTGCTGCTCTTCCACCTAACCCGATATAACATATAGAAATTAATATTGATATGGCCACAGATAAAATATAAACATGTAAAAAATTAAAGAAAGAATATCTCCAGTGAACACTAAGGTACATAATTATTTATATACATATAGGTACACGTTTCATACACGCATAATCATATATAGGTATATTATTGGAATTAATGGGACACGAAAACAAGCAAAGATTCAACTGAAGGGAGCAATTAAGTGCATAAAAATTAATTTTTATATAAGAAATGCATTCTCAGCCTTTTTTTAAAATTAACTTGACTTAATGTTTTAAAATCAGATGGTATTTTGTTATACAGATGTGCAATTTGGTAACTAAAGGATCTCTTGATTCAGATTCGTTAAGCCACTGAAGATACTCAATCATGCAGATCAAGAAAATTGTCCAGTAGGAGTAACCACTCAAGATTGACGCAGAGATAAAGAAGGGAAAACTGGCTCAAGGAATCGTGGATTTAAAATTGGCGGTGCAAGTCCCTAAGTTAGAACAAGAAGAGGTCGACAGGAATTCCGAATCAGTAGATAGTGGGTCGGAAAGTAAAAGGTCATTTGCCTTACAGAGTGACCCAATTTTATATTTCAGTATGAAAATTCGACAGCTATTTGTGGTTACACAAGAGAAGAGAAACAAACATACCTGAAAGGTAATGCTAGGAACATTGTTGAGTGTCCTTTTATTGCCACGGAGTGCGGATAAAATCATTGATATTTTGAGAAAAAGATTTGGCGGTCCC